CCACTCCATGTAAGTGATTCTCATTTCACATGTTTTGCCCCTTTTTGGCACTTCTATTGTAGGAGTAATGCATTGCTTATAAACTTTTCGCTATATCTCTATCACTATCCGAGTATACAATGTGTTTGATATTCATTTCACTCTTTTTGGACTCTGTTTCCACTCATTTGTCTCAACAAAACCATATTTATGTGGATCATGTTTTTTATCCATATTTCCAACAAATGTTAACTTTTAATTTCAACCAAAATATCCGGTAATTAAAGTCAAATACATATCATTTGATAGTAACATGAATCGACTCAACATTTTGTTGAATATTTAGTTATGTATTGAATGTTAAGTTCTAATCATTGAAACAAAACTTTGAAACTTTCAAAATGAAACTATTTTTGAACACTGGTTTGAATTAACTGATAGTTTTCTGTCATATCAGAGTCCACTTTAATTGACATTTTTTGTCAATCTAATACTGGCTTATGTTATCAAACAGTTTAAAGACATTCAAAAAATAATTATCAAGCGATAAGTAAATGCAATCCTTTTTTGAATACTTTGAGAATATTTTCTTGAAGTGAATATAACTATCATAACTATATAAAAATTATAACATTATACTAGTATACGGTATAATATATTTTTTAATGATATTTGAAAATGAAGTACAACTTAACCAATTAAATGTGAGCTGTGGTTGTGATGAATGTAATGGTTATAAAAATTGCGATAATCTCTGCATTAGTGCACAAATACAATAAATCGGTGTTTATATAAAAAGTAAAAAATTTTTAGTCAATAGACTAAAGCAAATAGTTTTCGTTTGTTTCAAATACTGATCCCTAACTCGAGAGCTATTTTACGTTATCTATAATTTTTATAATATTAAATCAAATAAATGATAATAAGCTATAGTTATGCCACTTATGCCACATCTCTACAGTCTTATCATAACATTTTTATGAGGCTTTTCATTACAAACTTATTTACTGAGGCGTTAACAATAAGTTTCTCATTTGTTTGATTTTGTAAATTAAATATCAGTTAATTGTTGTCCAACTTATTATACGACTAATAGTTTGTGATGACAATTTTTGACACAATGTTGTGATGTTGTTGACGAGCATTGGTTTCCACTGATTGTCAGTGCTTTCCATAGGATTGAGTGCTATTTAGGAGGAAAGACAGGAAAGGATGTTCACAATTCACAGTTAAGGTCAAACCTGTTAGTTATAGTTGATTCAAAAAAAAGTTTGCCGACAAGAATCCCAGCACTTGTTGCCCAACTTGAGGCCAGTTATAGTGAGTATAGCTTTAATTATTTAATATAATATATGTTATGTTTGAGCAATCGGTTTGTAAAGTGAATATATAAATAACTCTTACAATTAAGCGCAACCTATTTATACGTTGCTGTGATTGTCGGCCTTTTAATACATTTAATGTTTGTCTACTTTCCGACCAAACAATTGTTTCTCCATCTGTTCATAAATTACCGGATAATTAATTGATTCAAATGTTTGAAAACTTTACTGCGTTTGAGTTGAATATTAAGTTTTAAATCTCTATTCAAATAGCAATCATAAACAGGCAATAGTTTGCGGCCAAAAAACTTTATTTGAGTTGAGTCTCCAGAGTTGAGGTCTGTTTTCATAATGGGATTCACTATAACTCGTGGGTTATATACGCTTTTATAAATGCATTTATTTATATCATTAGTTGTATGTTATGAATCAAGAAATAATATTTCAAATCAATCAAAAATATTGGGAACGCTTTTGCACTCAATTCTGGCCATAGTTTTATGAATTATAAATTAAAGCAAAAACTTCTTTTTTATTTCGGATTATGAATAAATTTATGAACAATTATTTGTGTGTCAGTCGTGTTCATAAATTCAAGGATAGATTATTATTGGTTTCTGTATTAAAATATTTTTTTTGTTTTGTTTTACTTTTTCTATTAAGTGATAAATTTTTTCCGATTCACCAAACTCTAAGTGTCTGTGAAGTGTATGAAATGAATTATATAAAAGTATTTTTGCTAAATGTATTGTTTTACAGTCAGAATCATGAGAACGCAATTATAGTTATGTTAATCAAATGCTTAGCACATCTATTCGTGTATTGCATTCAATTACTTCACTCCCCTATTACCGATCATAGGTATCACAAAATTATAGTTACAGTAATCGTATGCCTAAAAGCGAGGTCCGGCTTTTTTTGGCGATCATTACTTAATTTTCAGTTTCTGTAATCATATTTTAAAATCTATTGAATTGTGTGTAAACGGCACCAAACATACTCTCATTTCGGGAATTACTGTCAAAACCAATTTCTCGTCAAAAAACTTTCAATAATACTGTAGAGTGACGTCTCACCAGGTTTTGGCTAATTATTATGTTTTTTGACTCGTAATATATCATATTATGAAGTATTGAGTTTTTAGGCAATAAATGAAAATACATTTTATTAACTTCTAGAGAATATTCGTTAATAACATTAGAGTCTGTTATTCTACACTAGAGTCTAATGTTAATACCTTTGGTGTTATAAATAAAGCGTATAATCAATAGATTTTATGCTTTAGATTTGTCTATTAAATTGTATAAATTCTAGACTTTAAATAGTTTTTATTACTACTGTATTACTATTTTATGGGTAACGAAGTACAGACTTATGTATTGACTATCATTTTATGTATTCTTTGCGAAATTAGTTTTGTTTTTATTTTATGATGTACTGTAGTGTCATTTTAAAAATTTTATTTCTCTTAATCGCATAATTATATTATAGGATGTGATTGTGTGATATAACTAAATATGAAATTTAATTTTTACAGTTTTATATGAAAATTGATGACTAAATAAGAGATGACAGGACGAGAGGACAGCCATAAGTTCGAGTTCGGACGCATCAAAGCTCTTCAAGAGGAGAGACTTCATATCCAGAAGAAGACGTTCACAAAATGGACCAATTCTTTCCTCCAGAAGGTATGTAATTACGAGACATTCTTCTTGTTTCATATAATCATATAATTGCCGTTCACTTCAAAGCCGGTAAAAACAAGTAATGGACTCTATTTTGTAGACTTTCTTCATTTTCTCTTTCAATGAATCCAATGATTGGTTAAATTTGACTGAAATATCCATAACTAAAATGTCTTGAAAAACAAAAGCAAATTTATAACTCGAATATAACTCGAAAAATATGTTTTCTTATGTCTAGAAAATGTAGTCAATTCACACATGAATAGCATAACAATATAATTAATTATAATATGTTTTAGAGTTCGTATCCTTTTTACATTTGCTTTAATTTATGCCTAACATTGGATGTGTTAAATAAAAGTTCATTACTTTTTCAAATCTACATTTTCTCCGTGAAATATTTGTGTAAAAACTTAATTACTATGATATCATTAATTTGAATAATATTCTGAAGACAAACAAAGCTATCGCTGACATTATTGCTATCATTTGAGACGATATAATAAATTATTGTTTACTGAAGCGAAGCTAAATGTATGCCAAGAGCTGAGAGAATCTAAAAATGATTTTCAGATAAATAAATCATATTTTGTTTATTTTTCCTAAATCAGACTAATTCATTGATCACAATTTATGACTTCTTATTAATGAGACGATAATCACATAATAAATCTCAATATTAAATACAAGGTGTCGGCAATTCTATAAACATTTTTTTAAATATTAAAAAAGAAAAACAAACAACTATTTGTTATTAAAAATAATTGTTTCCAGACTTTATAAAGCAATTATAGTAATTGAAATCTATAAATCAAAAAAGATTTTTTTAAATTTAAAGTTTAAATTTTAAACACAATTCAAAATATTGACCAATATTTGAAAATCTTAGTTAACTCAAGAGTCCCACATAATTAACCATTTATTAGAGTTAATCTAAAACTCCTAAATACAAATGATCATTTAATGAATTTATACTATTTTCTGTATAGAATGATAAACAAATAAATATATTGTTCACATAACACTATTGTATATTTAATTTTCAATATAATAGTTGCATAAAGTTTTACACAATAGTGACAATAGTATTTACAGACATATTTTATATTATGATTCGACAAAACTTTTTTGTCTTTTCATTTTAATATATTCACTCATTTCCTGATTGACAGCTTTAATAAAGATTTGTTTTTCTTTTTAAATTTAAAAAACCTATTTTTGTTATTTTTTGAAATTGAGCCAAAATTAATTGAGAACTAATTATAAAGTAATAAAACCATTCACTTATTGTTTTACATAAGGAGTCGATTCTTTAACAATTATGAATTATAATCATAATAATTAGTTTAAACAAATTAGCAAATGAATTATTTGGATTACAAGTTATTTAAAAATTCAATGCTATTCCACATTAATTTTGTGACTGTATAAACAGTTATAACATGAAATCATGATCAAATGTAAAGAATTTATATAATGAATCATTAAAATTCCAAGAATTGTTGCTCATATTAAGACACAACACCTTATGTTTACGAAAGATGTAATATTAGCAAAACTAATTACTTGTAAGAATTATGAATTTCTTATATTTCCGTTTAAATCATATTATGTAATATGAATTATTTAAGTATTACAAGATTACAAAATTTTCATAATTTTAATACTTGACTCTAATATTAAACACTGACATAACTATAAATCATTCACTTTTTAATTCTAAACATGCATCCAAAAAAATATATATTAAAATTATGTTACTTATCATAAATGATAGGCCCGTCTGGAAGTGGACGACATATTCACAGACCTATCGGACGGCAAAAATCTACTCAAACTTTTAGAAATAATAAGCGGAGAAAAGCTCGGAAAACCAAATAATGGCAAAATGCGAGTCCATAAGATTGAAAACGTCAACAAAAGTTTGGCTTTCCTTCACACAAAGGTATTCGTGATAACATTCCTGTCAAAAGATAATCGCATTTACAGTAAATAAAACATCAGATTATAAATCTTAAATCTTTATTAATGTCTTGAATGTAATACTGCAACAAGTTATGTAGTATTATAAATGTCCGATTGTTAGCAAATACTTGAACAGTTATTAATTTTATTTATATGTTAGGCTTTAACGCATAAATACAAGTTTTAATCCGTTGATTGCACAAAATTTGTACTTAAATTGGGTTCAATACTTAGGTTCGACTCGAAAGTATCGGAGCCGAGGATATAGTAGACGGCAATAAGAGGCTCATATTGGGTCTTCTCTGGACTATTATCCTTCGCTTCCAAATCCAAGACATTGAGATACAAGTGGATGAGGAAAGCTCGGAGAAAAAGCACGCAAAAGAGGCTCTACTTCTTTGGTGTCAACGCAAAACCTCTGGCTATCCATATGTGGACGTCCGAGACTTCACGCAGAGCTGGCGGTCGGGAATGGCCTTCAATGCCCTCATTCACGCCCATCGACCAGACCTTATAAACTATAACGCCTTAAACCCTAATAATCCGATCGATACGCTGAACAATGCCTTCGATGTCGCACAAAGAGATTTAGGCGTTTCTAAGCTGTTGGACGCCGAAGACGTGGACACCGCAAAACCCGACGAGAAGTCTGTGTTGACATACGTGTCCTCATATTACCACACATTTGCCAAAATGAATAGTGAGATGAAAGGCGGCCGAAGGATCGCGAATATAGTCGCACAACTGATTGATGTGGATCGACATCAACTGAATTATGAAATGTTTACCACGAATTTACTCAATTGGATCCAAATGAAGATCATTGAACTCGAAGACAGAACTCTGGCCAATAGTTTGGATGGAATCCAAAAAGAATTCCTTAAATTCAAAGAATACCGAACCGTTGAAAAGCCGCCAAAATATAAGGAGAGATCCGAAATCGAAGTCCTTTTGTTTAACATTCAAACAAAAATGAAGTCTTTGGGTCAACCGTTATATACACCACCAGAAGGCAAACTGGTTCAGGACATCGAAAAGTCTTGGACTGCTCTCGAAAAGGCTGAATACCGAAGAGAAGTGGTATTACGGGAAGAGTTGTTACGATTAGAAAAACTGGAAAACATTGCGTTTAGTTTTGAACGCAAAAGTGTTTTAAGAGAAGGATATCTGAAAGAAATGATTCAAGTGTTAAGTGATCCCCGATATGGGAGTAATTTGACTCAAGTCGAGGCCACTGTTAAAAAACACGAAGCAATCAGTGCCGACATTCTGGCCCGAAGTGAGCGCTTTAAGAGCTTAACAGTGATGGCACAGGAGTTGATTGATGGCAACTATCACAGCAGTGATGCCATCAAACAAAGAGAACAAAACATCGCCTTTCAATGGCAACAACTCCTGGATCTACTGCAACGACACCAAAATAATCTCAACACTGCCTCCAGTTTCATGTCTTCTCTCAGAGAAGTCGAGACAATAAGAAATGAAATCAAAGAAATGGAGAAAAGTCTTACCTCTGATGCCAACGTTGTTGTCAATCACCTGTTGGCTGTCGAGGATCTGCTCCAAAGACATACACTAATTGAAGCGCATATATCATCTCAGGGGGAGACCATTCGTAAACTGAACAACATTTCCACTAATTTAATGAAAAACGATAAAAAACAAACAATGAGTTCGGATGCCATTGAACTGATTGGCAAAGAGGCACCACTTCTGGTCAAAGGGTTGGAGTCATTGAATAATGAATACTCGAAACTCAAAGAGTTATCAAAACTGAAACGTTTGAAATTAGAAGAACTTCGAGCTTATTATCAGTTCGTTCAGGACGTCGAAGAAGAAGAGGCGACTCTCAGTGAAAGACAACGCATTTGTCAGGCAATCCTTCCCTCTAAAGACCTGTTGGCAGTGATTTCATTACAGCAAAAGCACAGCGTTTTAGAGACAGAAATCAAAGCCCATAAAAACCGACTCAAGAAAGTGATTGATAGCGGAGAGCAACTGATTGCTGCTAAACATCCCGAAAGTGCGGACATTAAGGTGAGGATCGAGAGTCTGACCTCACAGTGGGATAAACTCCACGAATTGGCCGATCAAAAGAGCAAACAATTGTCTGACGCTATGGAAGCGTTTCAATACCACACCGACGCTAATGAGGCGGAGTCGTGGATGAAGGAGAAGATGCAATTAGTGACGTCCGAAGACTATGGCAAAGACGAACCCTCAGCTCTGGCTCTTCTGCAAAGACATTCGCGTCTGGAGAGTGAGATCAGCGCCTATGAGAATGACATCAAACGACTGAACACACAGTCCGACAAAATGATTAAATCAGGAATTGCTTCACTATTTATGATATGCGGCGACGCCTTCTCTGCGGCCACGGCTGCCGGCTCTGGAGATACGGATGAAGGACTCCACGTGCCAACTGAGGAATGGGTCGACGAATTGGTCGAAAAGGAGATAATTCAAGAAGTGGTCGAAGAGATACGAATCCCACAAGTGATTGCTTTGTATCCATTCACAGGACAGGAGAACTTTGTTGTGGCAAAAGGAGAGCATTTGGTTTTGCTTCAGAAGACCAACAATGACTGGTGGAGTGTCCGCAAAGACAGGGAGAGGAAGGATGGCTTCGTTCCCGCCAATTATGTCAAAGAAATTGAGCCAAAAATAATCAAAAAACTCGTCAAAAAACCGATAAAAGTTTGGGAAAAACAAAAAGTGAAGAAATTTGTGAACCGAAAGCCTATGAAAAAGACTAAAAGAAATAGTAAGCGAAGGCTTAGTATTATTTGTGACGCCGAGAGTGTGGAGCAGAGGAAGAAGAATATCAACTCTTCGTTTGACGAGTTGACCGAATCGTGTAAAATAAGGCGACAATACTTGGAGGACGCGATCCAACTCTTCCGCTTCAATCGTGAATGCGATGGATTCGAGTCGTGGATCAAAGACACAGAGACTGCGATAATAGACACGACACGTCTCTATCAGCAACAGAAGAGCCAACAGCAGGATCTCACGGATCCCATCGAGAAATTGAGGAAAAAGTTTGAGAACTTTATTACTGAACTGTCAGCTAATCGGTCACGTCTTGAGGAAATCGATCGGTTGGCCGATGAGTTCACGTGCGGAAGAGCTCAACACTACTCTTCAGCCATAAAACAACGACAAAATCAAATCCACAAGAAGTGGGAGAAACTGAACCGAATGATGACAGAACTGGGGAAGAATGTGGAGGGACTCACAACCGTCGATATGTTCAACAATACATGCGATGAAACGGCCGAATGGATGCTCGAAAAGTTGGACAAAATAGACGTCGGCGGCGACTTCGGCAAAGACCTCAAGACTGTTCAGGCACTCCATCGCCGACACGACAACATTGAGCGAGAGTTGGCGGCCGTGGAGGAGAAGTTCAATAAAGTGAATCTATTGGCGGAGTCTGTCAAGAATTCATACCCAACTGAACGCAATAACGTGACGATCAGACAGAAAGAATTGGCGGACATATGGGAGAGGGTTAAGGATAAGGCCAACGAAAGGCGTGCAAAACTCGACGAATCCCTCGGTCTCCAGGTTCTCAAGAATTCTGCCAATGATTTGTTGAATTGGATCCGACGTGATGTCAAACAAAGCCTAAATAACGATGACATAAATCTGGCCAAAGATGTGGCGACAGTCGAGCACTTGATTGAAAAACACGAAGACTTAGGCAAAGAAATCTCCGCTCATAACGACGAGTTCAATGACTTAAGACTTTTGGCCAAACAATTGATTAAACAAATGGGAAACGAAGAGGTTTTGCCGATTCTTAATGAATTGAATGGAGAACAAGACGCCATTCATAGGCGATGGCAGGAGAAGAACAATTGGTTGCGACAATGCAAGGATCTAATGATCTTCAATCAAGAGGCCGACCAATTGGACACATTAACCAACTCTCACATGACTTTCTTGGAGTTCAACGACTTGGGAGAGACCCTGGAGTCGGTGTATGGGTTGCAGAAGAGACACGAGAACTTCATCGCCACTCTCTTAGCTCAAGACGAAAGACTGCATTTGTTCGGCGATATGGCCGACAAACTCATTGACGCCAAACATTACGATTCGCCGAATATAGAGAGTCGACGCAAACAAGTGATTGAACGCAGGGTTTGTGTCAAAGAGAAGGCACTCGAGAGGACACAAGTGCTGAACGACGCCCTCAACTA